CTCTCACAAAAACCAACTCACGCTGGATAACAGACTTAAACCTAAGATATGAAACTATTAGAACTCTAGAGGAAAAAGTTGGAAACACTCTCCTAGACATCGCCTAGGCAAAGAGTTTATGAAGAAGTCCCCAAAGGCAATCACAGCAGCAACAAAATAAATAAATGGGACATGATCAAACTACAACTTCTGCACAGCAAAGAAATAGTCATGAAAGTAAACAGACAACCTACAGAATGGGAAAAAATTTTTGCATCCTATGCATCCGATAAGGGACTGATAACTAGAATATACTTAGAACTCATGAAATCAGGAAGAAAAATCAAATAACCCCATTAAAAAGTGGGCATAGGACTTGAACAGAAATTTTTCTAAGAAGACAGAAGAATGGCCAACAAATATGAAGAAATGCTCAACATCTCTAATCATCAGGGAAATGCAAATCAAAACCACAATGAGATATCAACTTAACCCCAGTGAGAATGGCCTTTATCAAAAAATCTCCAACAATAAATGTGGCGTGGTTGCGGAGAAAGAGGAACACTCCTACACTGCTGGTGGACTGCAAACTAGTTCACCTCTGTGGAAAGCAATATGGAGATACCTTAAAGCGATACAAGTGAATCTACCATTTGATCCAGCAATCCATTGCTGGGCATCTACCCAAATGATCCAATGACACTCTACAAAAAAAGAGACCTGCACTCGAATGTTTATAGCAGCACAATTCATAATTGCAAGGCTGTGGAAACAGCCCAAGTGCCCATCAATCCAAGAATGGATTAATAAAATGTGGTATATGTATACCATGGAGTACTATTCAGCTCTAAGAAACAATGGTGATATAGCACATCTTATATTTTCCTGGTTAGAGCTGGAACCCATACTACTAAGTGAAGTATCCCAAGAATGGAAAAACAAGCACCAGATATATTCTCCAGCAAACTGGTATTAACTGAGTAGCACCTAAGTGGACCACATAGGTACTACAGTAATAGGGTATTGGGCAGGGGGAGGGGAGAGGGGCGGGTATATACATACATAATGAGTGAGATGTGCACCATCTGGGGGATGGTCATGATGGAGACTCAGACTTTTGGGGGGAGGGGGGGAAATGAGTATTTATTGAAACCTTAAAATCTGTACCCCCATAATATGCCGAAATAAAAAAAAAAAACTACAATGAGATATCACCTCACACCCATTATGATGGCTACTGTGTTAAAAAATCAGAAATGACAAATGTTGGTAGGGATGTAGAGGAGTTGGAACCCTAATGCATTATTGCTGAGATTGTAAAATAGTGCAGCCTTTATGAAAAACAGTATGAAGTCCCTTTTAAAAATTAAAAATAGATCTACCATATGATCTACTTCTGGGTATATATCCAAAAGTATTGAAAGCAGGATCTCAAAGATATATTTTCTCCATTCCTTCATCCATTTTGCCCATCTTCCCCTCTAATTTTTTTTTAAAGAATAGTACTTTAATGAATAAGTTTTATTCACAGAAAAATAAGCTTTAATCTACAATGAATGGCAGATTATACAGCAGAAAGCAATTTTCTTAGTTTTCCATATTGATAGAAAGGTTCCTACTAAATTAAAAAAGCCATAAAATTATATTCACAAATATAGTACTCTATCTCAAACCATTTCACAGGATTATTCACAGTACTAATACCATGACATAATAATCAGTCATTCTGTCAGGTTAAAGTATAACAGTAATGAAAAAAATGCAAAATCTAACAGAAATTACGGCCTCTGTTATATCAAATCAAAAATGCAAATTTGGTACTAAGTATATACAAAATGGTAAAATATATAGTAATTTTAAATGTTACATTAATGATATATAATAGTAAATTCCAAAAATCTATATGCATATCTGAAAACTCTAGACTTCAAAATAGAATCTTACCACCCAAACATTAATGTCATATTGTCCAATTTGAAGATATAGTCGTCCCTTGGTACCTGCAGGGTTGGTTCCAAGGACTCCCCGGAGATACCAAAATCCTGGGATGCTTAATCACTTTGCATGTAACCTATGCACATCCTCCTTAAACTTTAAATTATCTTTAGATTATTATAATGCCTAATACAATGTAAATCTATGTAGATAGTTGTTACACTGTATTGTTTTTTAACTTATATTTTTTATTGTTGTATCGTTTTTTATCATTTTTCCCAAATATTTTCAATCCTTAGTTGGTTGGATTCTCAGATGCAAAACCTGAAGGCTGGCTGTATATGTATTTAAGATTGTCCTATTATATTAGTTATAAAGTGTCACTTAACATGTAGTGAAAAATTATGGCATAGTGGAAGAATGTGGAAAAAATAAACATGTGAGACCTTCCAGGAAGGTAGCTTGGTGAAATTTTTCACATTCAAACTATGTCCTAGTCAAGGCTCTGCCACTAATTAGCTATTATATCTTTGAACAAATTACCTCACCTTTGAGCCTCAGTTGCCTCACCTGTAAAATGAGGGGGATGAATTAGACACTCTCTAAGTCACTTCCAGCTCTGACATTCTATGATTCTATTATGCTGAAAAAGAAACACTATGTTAAGTGTATTGAAACTGACTATTACAGTATAATTGAAACTGATTATGGACAGGGGAATAAGCCAATTGTTTCTATTGAGAGCTCAACTAAATTTGAGAATATTTTTTTCAGATTTTTAAAAAAATAAATATTTTTAAGGGTCTGATTACTTATTTATTGCAATTTATGTCTTAACTATGAGAAATACCAAAGATGAATGGGAGTCACTGAAAGAGTTACTAAGAATTTCTTCAAATTTTAGCTCAAATTTCCAGGTCAAGGTAAAACCCACAAAGGGGTAAGAGGGTATTAGCATGGGAATTAACATTTATAGCAGAAGCTTTACATATATGATCTCCTGAACTCTCATAACCTTGTAAGATAGGTATTAGTCTCATTTTACAGATGAAGAAGTTTGAGTTTCTTTTTAAGCTTTATTTACTTTCTTTTTTAGCTCCAGTTAATGGAAGAGAAGTTGAGTTTTTATATTCCTTCCTATTTTCTTAGTTCTCTAATAGCAATGATATGCAACCTATCCCATTTCTCCTATACCCCTTTCCCCTTTCCTCATTCAACACCTGGGTAATCAGGAAATAAAACATAATTTGGATCTAAGGGGCAGCCAACAAACCTAAGTGGAAGACACTGCAAAGGTGAAGAACTGAGGATTTACATAATAAAACAGAAACAGGGCAGTCATTATTTAATTTTAAAAATTCTCATTTAAATTTGCAATGCTTTAAATGAATATCACTTAAAGTAGTAATCAACAGAGGTTAGGAGAACATAACAATACTCCTTCTCTTAGAAAATACAACAAAAATATGGTTTCACTATCAAACTTTTCTCTGCAGTAACATGCCTCACTCACCTCTACAATAGGTCTGCTGTGAGAGTCTTGTAAACCCTGGATGTTCCTTGAAGCATTTTCAAACTTACATTTTTTTACCCATATTGACTCTTATTCAAATGTTTTTAAAAAATATTTAAACAACTATTCTTGTCTTGCCAATATTTTATAATTTTCAAGAGGTTTTAAGGATCTTGAGAGAACATTTCAGAAATATCTACTACTATTACTAGTCAAGAAAACAATTTAGGTAAAGGAAAAACTTAACATTTTGTCCTATATACATCTTAATCATCCTAACAGTAAAAACTCACATGAAACTTTAAGATACAAGATAATATGAGAATCTCAACATGGAAAGCTGTCACTATAACTACAAGCAGTGTACAAACATGCTTCTACTTTTACCTACGTAAGCTGACAGATGTTTAAAATACTGGGTTAACAAAGATCTTTTAGTAAAGTGACTTAGGCAGGCTTAAACTAGCAAGGATTAAGGATGAATTCTTACTAATTAATTGGAAGATCTGAGACATATTTTATATTTCATTTTACAAAATCAGAAATATTTATTTTGAAACAAGATAAGAAGACATGGTCTACCTGTCAGAAAACTACCACTCAGAAATATTTCTCATCCACAAGGCAGGAAAAACATAAAAACATTTAAATTTCACATTGGCACCAAAAAGGTTAACTGCCCTGCCTTCTAGGATTAGAAAAACTTAAATTGAGCAATAAGTAGTTTTGCAGGCGTTTGAACATGCCTAAGCCTTTAAATCAGTAAAATACTTTCTAAAATTTCTGATTACCAAAGTAATACATACTTATAAAAAACTGAAACAGAACAAAATAAAAAAAAAAAGTGAAAGGCCCCTGGCAAACCCCCTCTGGGACCTACCCCTCACCCCCCACCAAGAGAAACCACATTTAACAATTTGGTGCATATCTTTCCAAATCTTTTGTTCTATACATATACAAAACACACACACCTTGATTTGGCTCATACTATACATAGTGTTTTGCCACTTGCATTTTATACTTAATATATCTTTGACATCTTTCCATGTAGTACACGTTGGCTAGATGGTATTCTATCATTAAATACCCTTTCAAAGATGGCAAAATTACTTTTTAAAAATCATTCATACATGTTTATAATTTTAAAAGAAAATGGACAGAATCCTAAAACACAAAGATAAACATCTAAAAATAATCTCTATCTTTCCACCAATGTGGAACAGTTCATTCCTTTTTCACGCATAACAAATTATGTGATTGGGGAGATTAACTCTAATCTCCACGTTTCTACAGAATGCTCCATTTGTTAAGCCTATCTGAAAAGAACAAAAAATTCAGATGATTAATTCAGTTACACTTAGAAACTAAGTCAGTATACTACAAATACACATTGTGACCAGTTATAATATCCTGTTTCTTAGTCTAGGACTTCAATTAATTAACAGTAAAAGAAATTGGATAAATAATACAGATAATACCCTGAAAATCCAGAAATTCAAAGTTTAGATTGCCAACTAAGACATTGCCATTTACATTTTTTTTATACTTGGCAGCAAATGCTAATGGAATTCAATGCTGATTACTTAAAGTCGGTTCACATCACACAGTCAATCAGGATAATAAGAAGAACATAACATGCCTACTGTGGAGTCAGATCAAGACATAAAAATTTTTTGCTTGAAAGTAATGATTGTGTAGCACATGGGGCATTTGTCAACTGCTTCAGCACATTGTTTACAAGTGACCAGATGTCCACAAGGAATAAAAACTACAGCAATATTTCTATCCATACAGATTTTGCAAAACTTCTCCTCTTGCAGGCGCCTTAGCTGCTCTTCAGTACTAATCTCTTTATGCAATGAAGTCTGACTTGATTCATCTTGTGTACTGTCTTTCTGAGCACTCACTAGATCTGCAATCAGAACTTCAAATGATTTATAGTTGCTCCCAGATGTCTGAATTTTTTCTTCCATTATTTTCTTAATGTCCTTGAAACTGAATCCCATTCGTATAGCTTCTTGTACCATAGGATTTGAAAGATAGTATCATCAATTCTTTTAGTTAGTGACGGTGTTTTTTCAGCAGTTGTTACCAGAGACTCCTCAAGTGAATGGGTTAAATGAATATTGTTTATATATTCTTGTCCTTTCTCTTCTAACAGATATTTACACCCTGGATACCACTTAGCATGTTGTTCCCAAGGGTCTTCACTGGGCTTCCAATCAGTTAGCCCTCTTCCACAGTGAAAGCACTTTACTTTATCACCTTCACCTAAAGCATAAAATCCAGCTCTTGCAAGCTGCTCCTTGTTAACTGAGTATATCCACGTCCCAAAAGTAATGATCCGTGCTTCATAATCTGCCATGGATGGATTTCTTGGAAGATTTGTTGAATTTGGGAAATTCCTATCAGAACTCACAACATCAGATTCACTTTGAATATTAATGCTCCGGCCCAAAACAAAGAAGCAATTAGGAAAGTGTCGCCTATGCTCTGACCAGGCACAATCACAAGGTTCCCAATTTTTCAGTTTTCCACCACAACAAAAGCACTGCACTTGATCATCAATACCTGTGTAGTAGAGTCCAGCACTAGCTAACTCTCTTGGGGTTAAGTGGGCATAGTCTGGCCAATTCTGAAATGACTTTAATCTAGCTTCTTCACTACACATAGCAGGGTTCCTTGGGTAAATGGTGTCTGATATATCTACAACCTGTCCAGTTCTCAGAAGATAGTCTGCATGAGTTTCAGATGGCCTGTCTAAAGCAAAATAATTTCTGTTTCCCAGATAGTTTTCAACTTTGTACTGACCATTCTGGACACCAGGATTTGTAGGTTGCATGGCACTATTTTCAAAATAAAAGCTGTTGATAAATCTGCAATTTGGGGATACTTTCCTGTGTCTTCCAACTGCTGAGTCTCCATATTGCCATCTATCTACTGCTGCATGACAACTAAAGCACCGCACGGTATCTCCTTCACCAGTATAAAGAAAACCTGCTCGTGCCAGTGTTGATGCTGAAACAGGACTACTACTTGGAAAATTAGCAAAAGTTTTTAATCTATTAAACTCTTCTACAAATTCTTCATCCTTATTGATGTCTGCAGGTATACAAGTTTTAGATCCTTCAAAAGTGTTAAAGGTTATCTTCTCTTGAAAATAGGACTTGTCCACCTTTTCGTGCCAAGAGAGCTGGCCCCAACCGCCCGCGGCGATCGGCTCGGTCCCGAGGGGAGGGTCCTGAAGGAGGGGCGGGCTGAGCCCCAGTCTGGAAAAGCCAACTCTGCTCTTCGGCAGGGTCTCTGCCTAGGTGAAGGAAACGGAAGTCCCTGCGTCTCCCTCACGCGCTTCCACCAGCCGGCCCTGGAGAAACCCCGAGTCACTTGGGCCCAGGCGTCGCCTCGATTAGAGCCGCCCCGCTCCGGGCGCTGCCAAGGTCCCGCCACTTCCCCGAGCCGGAAGGGGGCAGCAGGAAAAGCCTCTCTAATTTTTTTAATGTATTTTAATAGTTACTCTAAAGTTCCTTGTCTATTAATTCCAATATCTGTGTCATCTGTAGGCCTTTCTCTATTGACCTTCTGTTTTGATCATCTGTCATATTTTCTTATTTCTTCACATGTCTCGCCTTTAAAAATATTATGTGTCACTTATTAAAAAGAACCATATATATTGGACTAAATATTATTTCCTAGGGAGAAAGCATGCCCATCCCTGTATCAAGCAGCTAGGGTAAAAATCTTAGTACTTCCATCCAGTCAGAAGCTACCTGCGTCAGCTCTGTTGCTACGTTAGTTATTCTCTTTTACTTTGGTTTGCCAGGCTTTGAGCACGGGGGAGATCTGCCCTATAAGTATTCCATTTCCCACTTCCTAGTAGGAATTTTAGATTTAAGAAACATGAAATAATGAAGATCTCTCTGTTTTCAGCTCAGGTCCCACCTTCTTATGCCTCTATATTCTTAGCAAGTCCTATAGGGTAAAGTCAGCAGGAGAAGAGAACTAACTCCTGTGGGCTTCTATAGATTTCAGTCTGTCACATCAGCCCACTTGATTGTTATGAGCCTCATTGGTTTCTCTTTACCCCAGCAAAGTTCATCTTTGTATGACAAGCTCCATCCTTTACCTTTCTACACTTCCAGACAGGACAGATGCTTCTGGGAGAAGAGTGGCCAGTGGTCTCTACTCATTTACTCATTGTCTCTCTCTGGAATATAGTTCATTTAGACTTATCTTTGTATCCACAGCTCTCCGGTCTCTTTTCTTTAATCTATAATTTTTGTTTTATCTATTGTTTTCTTATTATTATGGTGGGAGCAATGGTCTTTGATGATCTTCTATGTCCTAACTGGTAGCAGAACTACTGGATCACTTTAATCCAGTTAGGAATTGAGATGAATCAAAGTTGGGCTTCCAGTCCATGTATGGGCTTGTCTTTTTTGTTACTCCAAAGGGCCTTTTGCAAATCAGCAACAACTATGGTATATTCTTTCATGAATTCTTCCCTGACTACTTGGGTATGGAGAGGGGGAAGGGGCTCTTATAATTCCCTATCAGTTGTGTTCCATCTGGGTTGTGGTATGGGGCCAAGACATACTCTGGTGGGGAAGAAAGAATGGGGAACTAGATCTTATACTATTTTACCACCATGGCCAGTGGGGCCTCATGGTGCCAGGGGCCCTCAACCTGGATTCTCCCTGAACTCAGTATTAGGTAGAATTTAGGTGTATTAAGGTAAGAAGTGGGTAAAGGTAGATTGGTTGGCCTTAGTAACAAGCATGTCTGTTTCTCCCATTATAGCATGAAAAAAACAAGTATTTGTGAATTTCTTACCTATTTCCCCCCAGGAGAGAGAATGGGAAGTGGGGATCACTGGTGAACACATAGTTAGAACAAATGAGCATTTATTTGAGTAATCCCATCTACATAATGAATCTGATAGAGTCATTGAAGAATCTGCAATGCCTTTTCTCTAGACTTTTGTGATGCCTCTTCTTCAGAGTTTGTGATTAATTTGTTCAACCTCACTGGCAGCTTCCTAACTGAAAATAATATTAATTAGCTATTCCTCTTGTCTTGGGAGCAGACATAAGGACCTTGAACTCCCAAAGCTTCTGTTAGCATAAGTGGCCTCAGATTCTCTATGGGAGTATTAGCTCTGCAAAGAGGCTTCCAATTTTCTCTCCAGATGAACCCAGTTTGAACTCTGTCCACTTTTAAGTTGATCCATTAAATGAATTATAAGAACACTTAATCTTTGAAGTATGTTGTATCCCAAAGATTCAATTAAAACTACAGAGAACTTCTGATTATGACAACTCACGGTTTAAAAACTGACCTGAACTGATTTCCTTGCAGGTATGAGAGAATTGAAATCCCAATCCATATTGTACCTCATGTCACCATTGGGAAAGTGTGCCTTGAATCAGCAGTAGAGCTGCCCAAGATCCTGTGCCAGGAGGAGCAGGATGCGTATAGGAGGATCCACAGGTAGAGACCCTCTTTTGTCCTTTTATCTTTAGCAACTTTTGAGCCACCTTTCCTTTCACCTCTCTGGGAGAAAGCTTTATAGCAGTATCCAGTCATACTGTATGATAACAATCTCTTTAACATTGTTTTTCTCCTGCTATACTTTGGATCCTTCAAGGACAAAGACACTTTATTCTTTGGTTGTAAAAATAAGATAAACCACAACATCTTAGTAGTCTGTTGCCTGCTCAACACTAGATCTTGCCCAATAAATGCATACTATGTGAAGGCTTTGGTGAGAGACAGTACTTTCAAAATTATCTCTTGAATTTTTGAATAAAATCATATATCCCAAATCATTAAAAAGTTAATAATAATGGGAATTTAAATCATACATATTTGTCTAATTCAGTTGGCAAAGGTCTGATGCAGTTAATTGTTTTGTTATCGTCCATGACCATTTTATTTTCCCTTCAGTGCTATTTTGCTATTAACCTAAACTATTTTATCCCTTTAGCCTTACACATCTGGACTCAGTAACCAAAATCCATAATGGCTCAGGTAAGATTTTTTTTCCTTGAATATAGGCAGTGATCCTTGAAATACTCAACTGACAGAGGCAAATTTAGTTTAAGTAATTGAAGTGATGGGTACAAGTTATCCTTGGGTTTCCTTTTCCAAAAGCTTTATGATCCTGCTCCTGCAATTTCTTCTGAACCCTGGGGACCCGTGAATGCTATAAATGCAACCTAGAGTAAGAAAGGAGGAAAGACAGGAAAGAGCTTTATGGTAGACCTACGCAGTGTTGTGTTGGCACATGCTTAACAACCAGTTCTCAAGGAACAGGGAGGGCCCTGGTTTGTTCTGTTTGACAGTTTCCAGGGCATAGTATCCCTAGCATGACTGATTTCAAGTAACTAACAGGACATCAGTTTCTTAAAATTGAAATAATTGCCCCTTGTGATCCAGTGATGAGCTGGTTCTAGCACACCAGTACCAGCCTATTGTGGTGAGAATTGAAAGAAATGACAGATAGATAGAAGGGAAGGCATGAGGGAGAAAATCCTATCATGTCAGTAAATACAGAGGGAATTCCTATACAAGGCAATGGAACAAAAATCTCAATACTATATATATACACTAACTCACTTTTCTGCCAACATACACATATCCCCAGACACACTTTGACTAACCCTGACTCCCTGGTCATTCTTGTCATTCTGTGCAATCTTTCCCTATTACTGGCAAGGTCACTAGTGAGGACAAAGGGAGAAACTTTCAAGTGTTATAGGCAATTACTTTTTGAAGAAAAAAAGGGAGAAATAGCTTGGTCTGTCTGTCTCATCATTTTTTTTTTTAAATAGACTTTTTTTTTATTTTTTTGTTTGTTTGGTTTTTTTGTTTCTTGAGACAGTCTCGCTCTGTTGCCCTGGCTAGTGTGGCATGGTGTCATCCGAGCTCACAGCAACCTCACACTCCTGGGCTCAAGGAATCCTCCTGCCTCAGCCTCTCGACTAGCTGGGACTTCAGGTGTGCGCCACACCTGGCTAATTTATTCCTATTTTTAGTAGAGATGGGATCTCACTCTTGCACGGGCTGGTCACAAACTCCTTGACCTCAAGTGATCCTCCTGCCTCAGCCCTCAGAGTGCTGGGATTATAGGTGTGAGCCACCATGCCCAGCCTGTCTCATCATTTCTGTCTGGGGTGAAATAGGACAAAGAATTAAAATTTAGTAATATATATGACCATACTCTAAAGCTACAGTAATTTAAAAAGTATAAGTAATAGCTCAAAATGGACAAATAGATCAATAGAACTAAACAGAGCCCAGATATACCTCCATGTATGTATAAGAATTTATATTTAATAAAGGTATTACTTCAAATCAATGTAAAAAAGGATGGATTGGGTAGTATTGGGACAGTTCATTTGGTTGTTAGTTCATTCATTCAGGAAACATTTGAGTGCCTCTTTGCTGGCACTGTTTTGCTCTATAGTGCTGAGCAAAGCAAAAGGGACCATCTTAACCTACATGGACTTACATTTTATTTCCATTTGGGGGTGAATAGATTCTTACCTAATACCCTACACAGAAATAAATTCCAGATGTATTTAAACTTTTACTATTAAAAATGGTACAACCACTTTGGAAAAGTGGTTGGCAATTAAAATTGCCAAATGTCCCACTGTTTCCATTCCTAGGGATATACCCAAAAGAATTGAAACAGCTATTCAAATAAAAACTTGTACACAAATGTTCATAGCAGCATTATTCACAATAGCCAAAAGGTGGAAAGAACTCAAATGTGCATCAGTGGGTGAATGGATAAACAAAGTGTGATATAGCCATACAATGAAGTACTAGTCAGCAACAAAAAGAACAAACTACTGATACATGAATAACTTGGATGAGTCTCATGAACATTATGCCAGGTGAAAGAAGCATCATTCAAAAGGCTACATATTCTAGAGTTCCAAATTCAAGAATAACTAAGCTGCCTGAGGCCAGAGGTGAAGGGGTATTTAACTACAAAGGGAACTGCAGAGGGGATTCTTTGGGGTGATGGAAATGATCTATATCTTGACTTGAAGTGGTTATACAGGCTTTCCTAGCCATTAGGTTACTATAAAGTAATACCTGAGGCTAGTTAATTTATTAAGAAAAGGTCTTTTTGGCTCACAGTTCTGCAAGCTATTCAAGAAGCATGGTGGCAGCATCTGCTTGGCTTATGGTGAGAGCCTCAGGCTGCTTCTACTCTTGGCAGAAGGGGAAAGGGAGTTGGCATGTGCAGGGATTACATGGCATGAGAGAGAAGGGGAAGGTGCCAGGCTGTTTTTAACAACCAGCTCCCGTAAGAACTATTAGAATGGGAACTCCCTCATCACCATGAGGAGGGCACAAAGCCATTCCTAAAGGATCTGCTCCATTAGGCCCCACCTCCAACATTGGGGATCAAATTTCAACATGAAGTTTGGAGGGTCAAATACCCAAACCATAGCACAGAATATACATTTGTCAAAACTCATAGAACTGTACACTTTAACTTAGTTCATTTTATCATCTGTAAATTACTTTCCAATAAAGCTCATTTTAAAAGCTAAAAAAATACAGGAAGAAAATATAAAAGAATATTTTTCAAACTCTAGGAATGTCATGGCCTAAGTATAATCTGAAAACCTGAACTCACAAAAGAAAAGTCTTACTAAATAAAAATTAAAGACTTTTATAGGCGACTACGAAAAAATTTAAAATGTTAATTATAATCTTGAAAAGAAGTATGGATTAAGATAAAATTACCAGTTTTTCATCTTTTCTTTTGGCAAAGATTAAACTGAGAGATAAGTAAGGATGTAAGGGAAGTGAACAGCCCCCTGTTCCTGGAGGTATGATTTGGTACCATCTGGAAAATACTGGATAATTGGTTTTAAAATGTAAGTGGACTTAGGTCTAGCAATTCCACTTATTCACAGTCTTTATAATAGCGAAAAATTGGATGCCACTGAGATGTCCATCAATAAGGGAATTATTAAATTGGTCCATTCATTCAGATGAATATTCTGCAGCCCTTAAGAAGGAAAGCTAGATCTTTATTGATCTTTATTGTCTATCATTTATTGCTATGTAGGAGGAAAAGTAACACCCAAAATAATATGGTTTTTATTCAAAAGCATATACATATATGTATACATATGTCTGATAAGATATGCCTCACAGTATTACAGTGGTCATTTCAATAAGAGTCACATATTATGCGACAGAAAATATATTTCCATGAGGTGGAATTTATTTTAAAAGAGTGCCATGAAGCTAAACATTCACAGTAAGGCATTAAAGTCAATAACTCCCTTACTCTTCATTCCTCTGCTTTTTTCTCATTTTAAAGGAAGAGCTCTTAAGTTAATATGTTTATTTCTTCAATATATATAACATTTAATAAGCAATTTTCCTATAGGGCTCTGTGGAAAACCAAGTTGCTGAAGGCAGAGTTCTAGCTGTTTAGGAGATTATGGTGGTTCCCTCCTATGGTTTAGGAGGGAATGTCTGAGGGGCGAGGGAAAGGAACCTTTCCATGGCTCTTAGCCCTTTTGCCTAATAAAGAGCCAAACCTCCCTCTGGCTTATGGTTTCGGGAGTGTTCACAATGGCCTCACAATAAGTATCTTCTTTGCTTAGCTCTTTTGTCTTTACCCTGGCTGGGCATAGAAAGTTGTTTACCAGTCCTACTTATTACACCTTTTGTACTTCCTCCTCCAACCCCTTCTTTCTGTGCTCATGGTTGGGTTGTTAGTGGTGGAGTGGGAACATGCTAGTGGAGCGCTTTTCCACAGTTATCTCATGTACGTTTTTCCTATTGAAGTGTTTACCAAGAATCTGTGCAGTCAGATGTCAGCAGTCAGTGGGCCTCTTCTACAGTGGTTGGAGGACAGATTGGAGCAAAATCAACAACATTTGCAGGAGTTACAACAAGAAAAGGAAGAACTTATGCAAGAACTTTCTTCTCTAGAATAAAGCAGGAGACAAAGTGGGGTAAAAAACTTTTTTCAATTTGTGTACTAAATGTGACCTGAAAATGCACATAACTCATGTGCAGGTAGACAATGGAGTTGTTCTTTTTATATCCTAATGGATAAGTTTTTCACATGTAATAAACATAAGATATCTTCCTAAAAGTTTCATTAGAACTTACTGAACCCTTCTACCCATAACTGCCCTACAAAAAGCATATGCAAGATGATGTAAGCAGAATATGAAAATTATTTTTTAAAAAGGCTATGGGAAGTACATTGGCAAGGAATATCTTGGAATAAAATGTCTGGGAGTGTATTTTAAATGTTTGCTTTGCCTTTTTTTTTAACTTAAAGTCTTTATTTTCATTTTCAAATACATCCACTGCCTAGAGTAAGTTAAAGGAAGAAGAGTATTTCATATTTTGATTTCATATTTGTAGTTATGATGTTTATGCTGAACAATTAAATAATAAGTACACTAGGGTTAATGCGAAGTGTAGGTGGCTCAATAGCACTCCACTTCTATTATTTGCCCATTCAGAGGCTTGTCTCATGTCTTCCTTCTTGATCTCTAAAATAGGTATTCTGAGATACCTATCTCTTGAAATCTATGTGGGTGTCCTCTTTAAACAAACAGAGGAGTTCTAGCATATTTGACTCTGAAGTGAATTCTTATTGAGCAGATCCTATCTGCCTAGGAATTTCCATTATAATACAAATGTGTTTTTCCAGAAACATTTAGGATTTAGAATGTAATAAAAATCATGCTTTAAAAAGTTCAGTTGCCTTATTCTTACCATGTGTAACCTGAAATGGTAAGTCTGTTTTCAGAAGAATCAGAATTATTGCATACAAGAAATTAAAGTAATAAAGATTATTTTCAATTTTTTTCTTTCTGTTTCTCCCTAGATATTGTTTTCCAAATTTCAAAGTGTAGTCCAGATCCACCTCCATCAAAATCACTTGGAGGTCAAGCTCTGTCTTTGGGGGTAGAACCTGGAAATCTGCATGAACTGCCCAGCTGATTCTGAGGCATACTAACATTTGAAAAGTACTACCGTAGGGCATGTGGAATGTCAACATTATATTTTCCATAATTCCCCACAGAACCAGTTCTTCTCTATTCTTTTCCTTTCCCTATAGGAAAGATGAAAATATCCAGTGTAAAATTAATTAAGCTAAATCAATTTTGAAGAAGAAAATGTTGGAGGACTCACATTACCCCGCTTCAAGACTTACTATAAAGCGGTAGTAATCAAGATAGTATTGGCAAAAGAATGACATATAGATCAATGGCACAGAAGAGAGAACCCAGAAATAGACCCACATAAATATGCCCAGCTGATTTAAACAAAGTGCAAAAGCAATTCAGTGGAGAAGGGATAGACTTTTCAACAAATTATGCTGGAGTAATTGGACACCTATAGGCAAAAAAGAAATGAACCTTGACCTATACCTCTCATCTTATATAAAATTTAACTCAAAATGTATCATGGACTTAAATGTAATATGTAACTACAAAACTTAGAAAAAAGTCATAAGCGAAAAATCTTTAGGATCTCTGGCTAGGCAACAAGTTCTTAGACTTCACCACAAAAACACAATCCATAAAAGGAAAAAATTGATATATTGGACTTCATCAAAATTAAAACCTTTTATACTGTAAAAAATTTAAGTAGAGGAAAAGACAAGCTACAAATTGAGAGAAATTATTTGCAAACCACATGTCTGATCAATCTAGAATATACAAAATATGCTCAAACTCAATAATAAACAAACAATCCAACTAGAAAATAGGAAAAAGACATGGACATTTGACTAAAGAGGATATATGGATGGCAAGTAAGTACATGAAAAGATGTTGAACTTCATAAGTCATCAGGGAATGTGAATTATGACCACAATAAGATAATGATTTATCAGAATGGTAAAAAAATGTAAAATGATACAGCCACTCTGGAAAAGAGTTTAGAAATTTCTTATGAAGTTAAACATATACTTACTATATGACCCAGCAATTGCACTTCCAGACATTTATTCCAGAGAAATGAAAACCTATGCTCGCACAAAAACCTGTACACAAATGTTCATAGCAGCTTTATTTTTAATAGCCAAAAACTGGAATCAACCCACATTTCCTGCAATGGGCAAATGGTTAAACAAGTCATCCATACCTTGGAATCCTACTCTGCAATGATAAGGAACTATTGATATAACCACTTGGGTGTACCTCAGGGTATTATGGTGAATGAAAAAAGCCAATTTCAAAAGGTTGTATACTTTATGATTGCATTAGTAACATTCTTGAAATAACAGAATTATAGAAATAAGGAACAGATTAATGGTTGCCTGGGATTAGAGAAGATGTGGGATATGTATGACTATAAAGGGAAGACACAAGGAGTTCCTTTCTGTTCACGGAACAGTTCTGTATCTTGATTGTGGTGTTAAGTACATAAATCTATACCTGTGCTAAAATTGTATAGGCCTACATATACACAAATGAATGCATGTAAAATCTGGTGAACCTGAATAAAGTCTAGTCTATACTATTGTCAATATCTTGGTTATGAAGTTGTACTACAGTTATGTAAGACCTTACCACTGGGGAAAACTGGATGAAGGGTACATGGAACTCTCTGTACTATTTTTGCAACTTCCTGTAAGTCTATAATTATTGCAAAATAAAAAGATAATGGAACTAGAAAGTATGGTACCTATTTTATGAAATCAGAAAAGGATGATAGGCTGGGCGCAGTGGCTCACCCCTGTAATCCTAGCACTCTGGGAGGCCAAGGCAGGCAGATTGCTCAAGGTCAGGAGTTCGAAACCAGCCTGAGCAAGAACGAGACCCTGCCTCTACTATAAATAGAAAGAAATTAATTGGCCAACTAAAAATATATACAAAACATTAGCTGGGTATGGTGGCGCATGCCTGTAGTCCCAGCTACTCGGGAGGCTGAGGCAGGAGGATTGCTTGTGCCCAGGAGTTTGAGGTTGCTGTGAGCTAGGCTGACGCCACAGCACTCATTCTAGCCTGGGCAACAAAGTGAGACTGTCTCAAAAAAAAAAAAAGAAAGAAAAAAGAAAAGGATGATAAAAAAATCTGAGGGGAATAAAATGCTTTTAGTATTTTTTTATAGGCCAACCTTGAGCACAAGTCCCTTTCCCTTTCATTCTCTTTGGATACAAAATGAAGATGAAAGTAGATGATCACCTAGGTTCCTTTTAGCTCAGTGTTCAGTCTTTGAAAGTATTGAGCTTGGCTGAGGAGCCAATGGGGTGAAGCTACCATCTGTGGGATTATGACGGAACAGCTCTAAGTTAGAATCCCACCCTGGCAGAACCATACGGCAGCGCCAGGATGCCTTGGTTGGTCGCCCGCCTGTCCCTGCTGGTGGACCCCCGCTACGCCCCAGGACTGGGGTCCATTGCTGAGTACCACTCGTCCTGGGAAACGGGGTGTGGCCGGAAGGGCGGCCACCCCCTCACCCATCACGCAACTGCACCTTCGTGGGGAACCTGGCGCTAAACCATTCCTAGACAACGTGCTTCTGGGTGGGTGCTGTTCCGTACCTAGCAGAGCAGCTCCCTCACTGAGATCTGTTGAAAGTCAGCCCTTGACACAAGGGTTTGTAAACATAAATAAATAAATAACAAAAAAAAATGTAAAAGTATTGAGCATCACAAGGAACAGTGATGTGAACAAGACATATCTTTATTTTCCCAGCTGTACCAATTTGGCTTACCTTTACACAAAATATTGCATTCCACACATAACTCTATACCCCTTCCTGGACACCAGATTCTTTATTTTCAGTCATAGCCAAGACTCTGATGGGAACAATATATACTTGTTCTCTGTTTTCTTATCTCCTATACCAGGTGTCCTCAAACTACCGCCCGTGGGCCACATGTGGGTGTTTTTACCCATTTGTTTTTTTACTTCAAAATAAGATATGTGTAGTGTGCATAGGAATTTGTTAATAGTTTTTTTTAAACCATAGTCTGGCCCTCCAATGGTCTGAGGGACAGTGAACTGGCCCCCTGTTTAAAAAGTTTGAGGACTCCTGTCCTATACAGTTAACTCATTGCATTCTGACATCTGCTCACATCACTCCATTGAAACCACTCCTGCCAAAGTCACCAATGACCTCCACATAGTTAACCACTTTGGTAGGTGCTCACCGGCCATGAAACCTTGCCCACAGCCAGCACTTATAGTCCACATGATAGTTTGTGCTGTGCATTGACGATGAATCCGTTTTGCTCTTGTGTGGTGAGGAAAGATTTAAAGCACTGAAAGCTTGTTTTACTTTACAGGCAGCTTTTCTTATAATGTAAATCAGAATAGGTAACATATACATATATGTTTTCATTATGTTATTTTTAAATGTTCACAATTTTATTTAGATAAATGAAAAATTAGAAAAGTCATTATCACGGCTGTCAGCTAAAGTCGATGCTCGGCTGTGTGCCTTCATATCATGGCTGTCAGCTAAAGTCGCTGTGCGTGTTCATCTGAGGCTATCGACTATAGTCAACGCTGGGACCGAAGTGGTTAAAACTGCTCAGATATTGTGCTGAATAGTTTTCTTAATGCACTCCTGTTTGTACTAGCTCTTACATTATTATACTGACTTTTACTTCCTGTAGCACCTCTCCCTCATTCTCTTTCCCTGGGGACTTTGGCTTGAGGTTTGTGAAAATGCCTGGGCTTGAGTCATAGATAGATCAACTCACTTAAAGACAAGACTGGGCCTCCTACTGTCTCCCAACCTCATAATTATTTAAATGGGAGACATTTTTCCAGAGAATTGGCTCATTTACAGCCCCAACTGCCTTCTTCTTCTTTTTTTTTTTTTTTTTTTTTTTTGAGACCGAGTCTCTCTCTGTTGCCCATGCTTGAGTGCCGTGGCATCAGCCTAGCTCACAGCAACCTCAAATTCCTGGTCTCAAGCAATCCTACTGCCTCTCCTCCTGAGTAGCTGGACTAAGGCATGCACCACCATGCCCGGCTAATTTTTTCTTATATTTTTAGCTGTCCAGCTAATTTCTTTGTATTTTTAGTAGAGATGGGGTCTCACTCTTGCTCAGGCTCGTCTCGAACTCCTGATGTGATCCTTGGGTGATCCTCCACCTTGGCCCCCAGAGTGCTAGGATTACAGGTGTGACCCACCACGCCGGCCCAACTGCCTTCTTTAAGTGTATGCTGCCACCAAACTCAGTAGTCCAGTCATCTTTTTTTCAGTACTGAGCAGTGCAGCCCCAAAGAAAACTTATTAAAACTGCATGGAAAAGGGAACTCTGCACAATAGGCAGAATTTATGTGGTGCTTAACCTTGGACCCTCCCCCTTGCCCCACCACCAGATGCATTCTGTTACATTTTCACTGCCTCATGGGCAGCAGACATTATTGAAAGATGGTATAGACTCAAAGGAAAAACTGAAAAAGGCAACTGAATGACCAAGGGTCAGCTTCCAGTGTAGCATACATTTCTGACAGTCAGTCTGAGCTATAAATGTGGCAATTCTTCAGAAGGATACTTCCTATCAAAATAAACTTTAATTATGATGTAGGGAAGGAAGAAAAAGCTTAGATTGCCTGTAAGAGATACAAACTACATAATTAATCCTTCTCACTCCACCTTTGCTCCTCCCTTCCCTACCCCGGGACCCAGGGACACTGGAATTTAGGAGTAACAAAAGGAGCCAGCGGTGGGAGATTCTAACTTGGTACACCTTTGCCAGCTGGGTATGCTTGCAGGATTTGGATACTTATGGACATTGATATTATCATGAAAATGATAATTATGACTCTTAAGTAACTATGCATCAGAAGGCCAAGAGATGTTATAGGTGTAAGGATTACAAAGAAGAACCTACTAGGCAACCAGGGACAAGTTTGAGAGCAGGGTAAGCCAAGGAGAGGACTGGAAAAGGTAAAGTGACTGCTACAGGACTGGTCAAACCAATCATGTGTTGTGGAAGAGGAACAGTTGTGGCTGTGGCATGAGCACACCTTAAATCCTGGAGGTCAGAGACGGGTGGGGTGGGTGGGGGGAAGACCACCAACATCTCTCTCTGCTGTTGTCTGAAGAGCATTTGGACAATCTAGCCCAGACTGCTACCACCACTCTCAACTTGATGGCTGGCCAACAAATCTTAATCTAAGGACTCGACAAAACATCCTAGTAGCTGCTAACTCAAAGAGTTAACAGTCTTAGTCAGATGATAGAACAAGAATTAAATTTGTGGAACAAAAACTCTTTTGTACAAAAACTTAATAGAATTGGACCCTGACTCAAGCTGATCCAAGCTCAGCACAATGGCACTGTATCTCTCTCTT